GGGAAACCCTTGTCATTGTCACTAATTATTTTCACTAAATATTTGTCACTAATTATTACTAATAATTTTTGTCTTATTTTTTTAATAACGCACACACTCATGGACATATATAATTATGGGGATAAGGAAACCCTGAGTTGCACCCAAAAAATTACACCCAAACTCGCTAGAAAAATAAATGTAGGCCATACAAATATTTGTCCCGACGACGCGGGAATCGGACCTGGGATCTCTGCGTGACAGGCCAGCGTGGTAACCGTTCAGCCGCTGAGGCTATTGAAATTGTTCTTTGAATAGAAAGAGTAAATAGTAAGTAAAGTTAATTACCACAGAAGGTAATTCAGAAATGTATTTACTTAGATGTGAAATTTTACCGTTCATATAAAGAGCAACTAAAGTATAAACGTTTTAGAAGATTTACTTTCTTAGTCCTTGTGAAAGTTCGTCCCAGCAAGAATTGCCACCTTATCTATTTGTACACCCCGTAATGTGAGCATTACTGCGTTCCGGTTTGAAAGGGTAAACAAGGGTGCTTGTGATATTACAGACAACTGGAACTTGTCAACTTACATTTTGCGCCGGGTGAAGTGACAGCGCCCCTGAAAGCTTAGCGATTTACAGCTCAGTGCCAAGCAGTGGCACTGTGACTACTATGGACAGGTGTGTCGTTTACCACCAACGAAACATACGTCGCACACGAACGAAAAAGAAATCGATCTGGCGTTAAAAATATATAAATAGAATATAAAAGAGTAGCAGAAGTTGCTATAAACAAAATGAATCGATAAAGGTTTCATTACACTGTATACAGGAAGGTAGTACTGGTGTTGTGTATAACTGTGACATGTTCGCGGGTCTAAGTCACGTCGTCAGTCGGCGCCTATGTTGCAGCTCATGGCGGCACGTAGCAAGCCATATGTGGTTGTATTATCTTCAAATATGTATAGACGACCGGTCGGTGTCATTCGTCGCGCAGAATGCACGTTAGAAACCTCTATGATATCTGCATGGTTAACATGAAAACTTGGTAACAAATAGTCCATATCGACAAGTCAATATGAGTAGGTTATAATAGGTATGGTAATTTTTTTTTTATAATCTTATAAAGTGACGGCACGAACAAGTCGTGCACCTGATGGCCTGTCCATAACAGTTGCAGTGGCCTCAGAGCTTTAAATCGCAAAGATCTGAGGGGCAACTTCCTCTGCGTCCGACACCCTGAGACATAAGTTGACAAGTCCCATGTACCTGTAATTTCACTATCACCCTTACCCTTCAAAATCGGAACACAGTAATGCTTACATTACTGCTTGGCGGCAGAAATAGGTAAAGTGGCAGTACTTCCCTGGGCGAACTGTGCTGTGTCAGTCGCTGAGTGCCGGTCCTTACAAATATAAACGTCAAAGTCGACACGCTAAGAAGATGAAGTCATTTTCAAACTATGGGTTTTAACGGGGTAAAAATTTGAAAATAACAATTCAGTCGTCTGTAATTTTCTCTTTCATTTGATTAATTTGTTTTAATTTCCTACTAATACAGATGTTGAGTGATTCGACGAATATTTCGCGTTCTTATAATTTTTTTTTTTTTTTTTTTTATACATGACAGGCAAATGACTCCACTCCACCTGATGTTAAGTGGAAAGTGGTATCCAAACGCTAATGAAAAAAAAATGTTGAAAAAGCTGTTTATTTACACTTTGTTTTAATCTATTCAAAGTGTTGCGATTGTTTAGTTTATGTTCTGCTTTGTCAAAAAAATAATAGTATGTATTTTTAAATTGTTTTTTTTTTCTTTCAATAAAGCAGTAAAGCTGTACTAAGTCGATGTTAAAAGATGTGAATTTAATTTCAATTTTTTTCTAATATTATATATTTAAATATAAACAAGTATTAACATTATTTTATAGTCGAACTTTATTTTTGTTATGATAACTGTGTCGGTTTTTGTATTTGTTTGATACGTATAATATTTTTCTTTTCGTTACATTTAGTTATATATTATGATCCTTTTATGTTACTATTTAATTAAATATTTAATCGTGGTGTCCTAACATGGTTAAGTTGATGCTGTTTTAATCTTAAAAATACTGTGTAATACATAAGAGCCGCAAATATTTTGACTTTGAACAGAAACAGACAAAGAGATTACTTATAAGATGTACAGCGTTATAAATATATTTTTATTGTGATATGAGTGCGTATTTGACCTCCATCTCGAAAGTGACGACGAGGTCGACAATGGAGAGAGCACACCTAAATTATGCCTACTCACTCTCGCCTTGAAAAGGCCCAAATTATAGCGTCCAGGTGATATGTCTGCAGGCAAAGAATTCCACTCCATAGTCGTTCGCCATATAAATGTGGAAGCGTAACGCTTCGTGCGAATCCTTAGAATAAAATAAATTATTTTTGTTTGTAAGGGTAGAATCCTATCCTACGCCTAGTTCCTCGGAGATGGAAAGGTGAAGGCGGAATTAAATCGTGCAATTCCACCGCACACTCTCCGTCATATATTCTCTAGAATACCGAAAAGCAGGAAATTTTACGCAGTGTTAAAGGCCTTGTAGCTTCGACTAGTTAGCTCTACTAAATCCCAGTCATCTATATGAATCCAGCGTGGCCAATTGGTAATCAGCATAATCCCTTAGGTGGTAGCAGTACCCGATACACGACCGGACTAATGCTTGGTGCAGAACAGTTGGAGCAACAGTCCTTATGTGTAGAAAGGCGTCAACTTGGAAAGGATGTCAAGCATCTGGCTGCATCTTTACCCGTGACTTCAGTTTTTTGAGTTAGGAAAAAGTATAAGCGGAGAAAATGGAGTTTAATAATTATAGAGCATACTTACTGTAACTATGTTTATATGTATGTAACTATATTTCAGCACTTGTAGGTACTGTAACTAGAATTAATTTCCTAACGTTACTTCATAAATGAAATAGCTGGCGAAACTAGATATGAATTAATAAAATTAAACAACGCGTTAATTGATTAAATACGCAAAGATTACGTTAAAGATCCATAAGGAAGTAATTTAAGAACTATACTGGCAATAACACTGTTTAACGCTGTTGGAACTCTACTTACAATTGCCATAAGCAATTGCAAAACAGTCGCGTAAATGGTATAATTTTCTTTGTTGAGATCCTATTTTAGATTTGCTCCTTACGCAGATAGGCAATGACGTCTACCTGTTTATCCTGATTTAGTATGGCCCTGCGAGGCTGCTACTGCATACTCACGGTGACCTTTTTGTCTGCGTATCACATTTTTCCTATTATTTGCAGCATTTTGTAAAATTTCCTTTAGATAATAAATCTTATAAATGATAAAATCTTGCATTTTCAATTCTTTTTTCAAATAAGTTGACTTTTTCATTGAGTGATATTGATTTTAACGTGTGATATGTTTTTGTACTTCACTGTAGTTTGAGCATTCAATTGGTTCAAGAGAACATATTTTTTTTATAAAACCAAGGGGTGCGCCTGGTGGTAAGTGACACGTCTGTCCATAACATAAGATTTAAATCGCAAAGATCTGAGGGGCACTGCACCCGCCACCCTGACACATAAGTTGAAAAGTCCCAAGTGTCTGTAATTTCACCACACCTTTCAAAACCGGAACGTAGTAATGCTCATATCAAATTGCAGCTTGGCGGCAGAAATAGGTAAGGTGTATTGTATAACAACCTCTAAGTATATAAGATTTTTTATTCAGCGAAACTAAATTCGAGTTAAACATGCGTTACTATTACACATATTTGGGAATGTTTTTCCCAGTGTCCATTTGTAATTTATATTCCATTTTGCAATCATCATTAACAATGCCAGAGTGGAGAAATATCAAAAGGCGAAAGATAAAAAACCCTGTCATTGTGAATGACTTTGTTTTGTATGTATTGGTATTATTTCCTGTAATAAGTCGTTGGAAACATAATGTTGTTATCAGTCAATAAAGGCATTGCGATTACCAGGAAAGAAGGTGACTTAATAACTTGTGTAATTTTGAAAAGTTGTGACAAACAGTTTGTGAAATCATATTATATTGCAAATATTGTTTGTTAATTTTTAAAGGTAAATCAGTACTTTTGAATTTTGTTCGGAGCTAGTACAATTCAAAAATTGAACAATTCAAATTATTTGTAGATTTTAAAGTTGGCATTATGAAGAGACGCCGATTTATGACATCCTTCTTTAAATCTTGTACCATTTATTATTTATTACGTTATGTTTAAGAACAGGAAAAATAATATGAATTCATGTTGTAAAGTCAATATCTAAGGTAATAAACAAATATATATTAATATATGAACCAAAATAAGATGCTCATAACAAAAATGTATGTTTTCTGTACAATGCTTGTACCATCATAATAAAATTTTTAAAATATTCAGTCTGGTGCTTCTTTAGCTGGCAAACAATTTAACGTAAAGTGTCGAGCTACTGCCGCAAGTCTAGACAGCGAGCTGCGGCTAGAGATCCACATACGAAACCAATGCCGACAGATGAATTAGGAAACGAATTGAACCAATTTCGGCAAAATCTCTCTATGCAGCTTTCTGCAAGCGATTAACTTGTTAAAACCTTAACACAAATCTACTTTGTAAGGCTGCAGTAACACCACAATTTTCGGGAAATTTAATTATAGAAAATAATTAATAATCTTTGGTTTCCACCGCTGTATTGTTAATTAAATTAATTGCTGGCATTCGATCCACGAATTGCCGACAAATGAGTTCCCCCTATTTCACAGTGCACAAAGACCGTACAGAAGCTCTACTCAAAACAAAGGCAGCCACGCAAAAACCGAAAGAAATTTTAATCAAACGAAATTGCTCCTTGTACGCACTTCATTGTGCGTCGACCAATAATAACCCACAAAGCGCCACGCACTCATGTCCCCGCTTTTCACACAGATGACGCACACAACGAAGAGTCGGCGCATGCACTAAAGTTCACTTCACTGTTCCGTTCACCCGAAGTTTTAGTAGTTAGAGCCGTGCGTGGTCGCGTAGAACGCGTACCGAGCGTTCCGCTCATAGGCACTTACATTTTCACTTACGAAACATTTGCAAGTTCGGAAATAGTGTTTTTGTTATCTAAAAATAATAATAGTCGAGCTTTCCGTACCGGTGCTTTTGTTATACTTTCTATATATTGATTTTCCTCTAATTTCCTAACAAATTAGAGCTAACTCTTTCACTTTCGAAACCGTTTGATTAGTTTTGGTGTGGTTCTGAAAAGTTGTTAGTGCTTTCAGTGTCAGGTGTGGAACCTCACACGCTATCTCGCTCAGTAGTGTTGAAAGGAAAGGAAGATAAGACTGCACAGGGAGAGTTTGTTTGGTTTCATGATTTAATTTGCTGCAAACAACGACTGCAACGTTTGGTGAACTTAGAGAACGTAAGTTATTATGTCTTTATGGTATTTATTATCTTTTGTTATTGAAATATACTGCTACCTTTTTCTAATTATCAGTTATAGTACACTTTGCTTTCTATTTTGGATTTTTTATTTGTTGATGCCACACATTGCTCTACAGTGTATATTATAAACTAATTTCTTTGCATACATTATTAAATTGTTCGTAGTAAGAACATTATTTTCAGATGCAATATTTTTTCTTTATCTGATAGAAAGAACGTTTACATGATACATTTGTCGTAAAGATTAGTGTCGGTCATGTGGGCCGCAATTAGTCTGGCGTCGTTTATAAATAGTCCACTTAGCTATACTTGCTCTAACTTGCAGCTAAAACTATCTCTACCAGCCCTCGAAAGCAAATGAGCTAATAGCTCATATTATCATTTGACTTAGGGCACATTCATTCATTAATCATAAAAATGTTTGTCTCTACATGCATCTCTTCATAAATAGTGCTTTTGTTTTACATAAAACTATTAAATTATGATTTATTTGCCTATTTACTCTGTTAACAAAGAGGAACTAATTGATACAGAGTGTAACCAACAGGTCAGAAAATACTTCAGCTGGTGATGGTAGCGATTAAATAAAAAAGTAGTAGGTACTTGAAAAATAAATGAGTGTATATAAACAATCACATGTTTTTCGATTATATTCTATAAGGATTTTATATAACTTTACGAATTATATAAAAGCGAAACGAAACTCTACATTTATTTTTAATCGATTTCAAAAAACACACGACTGCATTTTTTTTTGTATTTTACGCGATTACTTCGACATTTGAGATTTTAAGTAATTAATAGATTCAGGCGTTACTTTGCGGAAGAATTTAAAGATTTTTTGTTTCTTGCAAGTGGGGTACCTCAGTTGTGGTCCAATTTAAAGATCATGGCCCACCAGAGTATAAAAACTATACCCACGGCGTACAGAAATGACATATGGCTAGAGTTACAAAAATATATGTGTACTTTAGAATAAGTATGTGTCGCTTTTTTGTGGGTACTAGGAATTATGGAATAAAAATTTTTTTACATAAAACATGTATGAAATACTCGTGTGTTTTGTATTTATTGTTGATCACCCACGAGCGAAGAACGATTTCGGTGTTATTCCTACTACAACTAACGGCGAAGAGTTCGTGCACGAGTGTGACGATATTTATTTTGATAGAAAGTTTGACAATTACCCAATTAGGGTTTTCATACAATCAAGTATCGCGTAACATACATACAAAAAAAAACATACAGTCGAATTGAGAACCTCCTCCTTTTTTTGAAGTCGATTAAAAATATGTTTAATTTCAAATCTTTATAGCCCTATTACATGTTAACATTGTAGAATTGCAATACTTCTTTTACATAAAACAAAAAGTGGTTTTAAATTATGCAGTTATAACCGCATAATTTAAAACCAATGTGGTTTACGCAAACATTCATTAACCGGATTAGATTATGGGCCATCTTTGAAGAAAATATTACTCCTCTAAGGGTGGCAAATTGGGTCATGAATCCGGTTTATTGGATTTCACCCACTTTCCGTTAACTGGCAAATAGATGAAATTCCGTAAACTTTTGAGGTCGATATTCCTTTACGGAAATAGTGATTGGTTTGAGCTGTCATTGAGCTCTTATGTCTAATATGCGTTTGACGTATTAGGTTTTTACCACAATAGAAATATTATGAATCTTAGTAAATACTTTAAGAATTATTTCCTTTTAATTTACGCAGGCAATATGTATAAATTTTACTCGGTTTTTTACATTTTTTCCTACTCATGGTTCTTGATCCAGGTTAGGTTATTTTTTTATAATACCAAGTGACGAAACAAACAAGTCGTGCGTCTGGTGGTAAGTGACATGCCTATCCATAACAGTTACAGTGCCACTCAGAGTTTCAAATCGTAAAGATCTTAGACTTAACCTAAGTTGAGAAGTCACGTGTAGGTACCTGTAATTTCACCAGCGCTTACCCTTCCAAACCGAGAATTTTGTTTTATTTCGTGTAGCGAAAATATCCCAGAAAAAATATCCCATGGTCTAGGGAACTTTCAAAACCCAAACGCTAATCACAACCATTTAGTAGATAAAAAATGCAATTTTCTTGTTTATTTTCTATCATATCATAAGCAATCTTTGGTTTAAGGACTCAGAAAAAATATATAACACGCAAATGTGAAATAGAAGTACGGAAAGGGACAGGTATGGGTTCATGATAAACATTAATACGACGTTGTAATAAATATTACACACAATTGAAGCTCTATCTTATAATTATCTGGCTCTGCTTACAGTGTACAGTTGATTGCGCTTATTATGTACAAGATTTATGTAAAGTATGTATATTATCTACAAAAGGAATATTTTTAAATCGTTGTTTTGTAATGAAAATATAACATAGAAAGTTTCCGAACGTATTATATATAACACCGTATATAGGAAGAGATACGACGGTGTGGTGACTGATTTCGCCGTAGAAGAACTAATAGATACAACAAGCAGAAACACCAGTAGATGACTGTGTATTTACATAAGCTACAATACCTATGTAAAGATATAAATCTACACTTAAAAAATTACATATTCTATTATACTATACCCAATCACTCTACCGTTCGCCACTGCACGTGCGTTTATGGCCTTATAAGTGTCTCAATACACTGAATTGAATTTATATTAAATGCACTACGCAGCAAGTCTTGAAACATTTAAATCAAAGTCACCAAGTTAAATTTAACACTTTGTTATCAAAGCCGTTTTGTAAATGATGTCAAGTGTTCGTATGCTTCTTGTAGGAACTTACTTATCAAAGGTGTTCTGTGTTCCATGTTATCTATCACTCTTTGCTGTCGTTACTTGTTTACTATATATGCTTCTTTAGTAAATTACTTTATGATATTTTGTACTTTTACTTTGAACGTTCTATTATTTAATTTAGGTATGTGATCGAATTGCAAAATGATGCAGTTTAGTGCGATTTATTTTTATTTTATTTTGTTCAGGAAGTATTTTGTCACATTTCTTTTTTTTATTCATATATCAGAATGGAAAAAATATTAGATTTTATTATTGTACGAATCTTATTTTGGAATTGCTTACATTAATAGAAATATACGCCTTCAATTTTAAGAAGTAACTATTTGCGTTTCATCAAATAAATTGATTAGTGCTTCTGATGTTTATATTTGGTATTTACCTGCTAATGTAAATTATTAAATGTATGTTTTAAAATGACTGAATTTATAAAATTTGCAAGTATTTTTAATTGAGACAGCGCCAAAAATAATTATAATTAAGTTTTATTGCCACCAGTAAACGCTAAGATCAACAGTTTATTACAGATACAAGTATTGATTAAAATGTAATAGAATTTAAGAATACCCTTGCTTTATTATATTATCTCTCTCTTTCTCCGTATTTGTTTCTTGTTGTTGTGTCTTTATTTACAGCTGTGAGTATAGTGAGCTCCAGTCAAAATTGCTGTCTAATTATTCAATAAAATTTTATTTGAGTAATTAAAACTTACCTGTCTACTCGCTTACCTGTTGCCGCATTCGTTCTGACTGTCTTTTGTTTTGTTGCAGATATCGCTCCGTTATCTTGTGTACAACATCAAGAACATTGTAGAGAACAAATTGTGACGGAGCGCCGCCCACGACGAGGACGATAACACTGCATCCCGTCCACAGCGCGCAGAGAAATTAATCTAGCACACGGTTTGCAGGAAACATGTTGATAAACGGCGCTGCATAAACTGTACCCCTAGCCCTGTTTCACAAAATTCGGTGTTGGCGCCCTGACATGCCCAGCTGACACCGGTACAAGCAAACTAGCAACAGCTATATACCTCGCTGTGAACGACCAAACCAAATGGCACTAACACACTCAATTTACCAACAATACACTGCTGATGTAACTCACAGAAATATGGCAAGTCATTCCAGAAATAATATAGACAAAATTCACGAACTGATCGATTTAGATAGATATAAGTTACCGAATAAGGAAAATAAGAAACGCCAAATAGAATTCGAAAGCCGATGCTCTCTCGCAATAGGAGGGTCCGAACTATGCGAATTGCATAAAGACGAAAACGTATACGGAAACGAATCGATTATCAAAATGAGAGTAGAGGTTGACTTTTATGGTGGCACAAGACAGAGCGCCGATTTTAAATTCCAATATGTGCGGGATGTGCAGAAGTGGATAGAAATGACCGGCAGGACAATAGGTGTACGCGTACGCATGGTTGCCGTGATAGGATTGCTCTTGGCCATGCTGACAACGACATATGCTGCGCCGGCCGCGAGGTTGCAACACACGCGCTCCTCGAGTCAGGATGATTCTGTTGTAAGTTGTTTTATTTAGTTACCTGTTGAGCTACTTAAAAACCTTCAACACCGTACATTTCCACATAATCTCTAAAGCTAAATCTGTTTTGACAGTCTAAGCTCTGTTTTCTTTAATAAATAAATATGGGTAGCACAATTTATATGCAGTATCTTCTTCACACCCTGTCTCACGCATACTAAGTAGCACTCGGGATGTCTTCGCTGCTGCAGATTTTTGTCTCGTCTGAACATCGCCGGAAACTTACTTTACGTTACTTACGTACTTACGTACGTTACGTTACTTATTATAACTTTAGTTTAGGTTAGTTATTCAGAATAGATAGCTGTTTTATACACATACTGTACAATATGCATATTCTCAGAATAGAAATGGGTTTATCTTTCCAAAGCATATCTCGCGTTCTAGAATCCAATCATTACTTTTCTTCATCGTTTTGTAGGGAACGATATTTGCCGGGCGTTTGACCGCCTCAGCGGAATTAGAAACGTGAGATTATGAGCAAATACAGGATATTACTTTCTTCGACAATAATGCTATGAATACCTCCCCCTTTTCCCAGGAATGTTTGATTCTAGGGGTTGTTATTCACTGGTGGATTAACCAGTTTTAGACGTAATTCTATGAGTGCAAATAATACTGGGACGAAAAGCTGGCGTGTCGTATTAGATTACTGGCAGCGACAGACGGACGAACCGTTTCTGTGAGATTAATGGGCTAAGTGACGAGTGGGAGGCTCCTTCTCCAGTGAAGGAGGAAGACACTGTAATTTACTTCGTAGATCGTTACAATTCGTGAAAAGCCCAACTACTAATACTATCCATTCCGAAATGGAGAGGGAAATTACTTCTTTATTTGTATTTTAGTAGTAACTATTATTGTGTTTATTTAAAAAAAAATTGATGTACGAATATGCAATAAAAAAATATGTAGTAAACGAAAGTTTTTTTTACTGTTGCGTAGGTAACGAAATTACGTGTCCATACTTAAGCGTTTTTAAGTTGATTGGATGTACGTATATTCAAGTTCAATAAACAAGTAACGATTACGAGACAAATCTTACCCATAGACGGGATTAGTGGAATCAGATTTGAACCCGATTTAATTACAGTTTAAACACGGCGTGACTGCGATGGTTAGCAGCTTCCTGCGCTCGCGCAACTAGGTCGTGTTTGTGTTATACTTTAGTTATGTAAGTGATAAATGTTCCTCGCGCAATACTAAAGCCGTTTTAGACCTGACTCATAATTTTAACCCATTTTTCTTCATCTTGTTGAGAGAAGAAAGAAGGTAAAATGTTTATAAGGAAAATATACATACTTTTACCCAGTTAATATATACTTTAGGTTAAGCTTAATATTTCTTGCATCATGAAAAGAAATTTGAAAATAAATTCTTGCATCGAAAATTCTTGACAGTGCATATTAAATTTATTGAGTAAATTTTCTTTTCAACGGATTTTGAAGTCTCAAATGTAGGAATTTATAACAGTCTGGTGTTAGCTTTATGCATACCAAATCACTTGTGGAAGCACATTTTTCCTAGACAGGTCATGTCTTGTATATTTAAAATTCAATGAAACCAGAATTGTATATAATAGAGGAATGTGCAACTCTACATATAGAAATTTCGAATTGAATTCGAAACATTCTTGAAACGGCTTTAAATAAATCTCGAATTTCCATTAGAGAGAAAAATCGAGCTATCCTTGTACACTCAGTTGCACGATTTAAATGTAGCTATTAGTATGTTGAAATAGGTTGTAGGTGTCTGTTGGATTAGCCCACAGCTGCAAGTGTACATTTCCTTAACTCCTACGGCAATGAAGTTAGTAAATGTCGTTTTAAATGAAGAATTTTGTCTTTAATCGAAATACCAGACTGTAACCTGGCTTTTACTTTTCTTGGTCCTGTCGTACATCTTTTTTTATTCTTATTTTTTATTCTCTTTTGGCTTTCGAGTAGTTGCGAAAAATATGTATATTGGTTATAAGAATTGGTGTTTTTGACTCTTTCCAGTTAAATAAACATCATATCAATATCTAAGTTAAACGACTATATTGTGCGGGTTCACAGGATGATTTTACAAATTTCACGGCCGACCACCACCGACAGCCACACACCGGCCCCGCCCTTACATATTAATAATTAAAATGACATCGTATCGCCGCACAACGACTCAGCCTATTTTGCGTAGTGCATTGATAGGGACGAGCTCGGCCCTAGGTATGCTTATGGGCCTTAGGAAGCCGCCTTTGCACATAGCAAATTCGGTATTGTTTATAACATTTAAACCTATACTCGTACTCGTGAACGGTAAATGGAACCAGAAACTTCACCAGAAAATCAAGCAAGATGCTTTTATTAAAATTAATAAGTACATCTAAAATAAGATTGCCAACAAACTTAACACAAAAATGAAATTTAAATGTGACATGATTAATATTTATAAAGTTTTAAACAACATAAAAAAATATTTTCATCTTGCAGCGATAGGAATCCCTTTAGACATTCAATCAATCGCCTTAAATACATAATCTTCCGATTAATGTAACGTCTTTGGCATTTTCTCGTTGCACAGTACCTTCAGGTACCAATAGTTGACACTAGTTACGTCCTAGTGTTTGACACCTCAATATGCGACTAGCAAGCATTGGGTTAGTAAAACAGTCTTTGACACCTATGTCAAATACTACTCAAACTACCCACTGAAACTTGTCACTAACAGAGAAATCCAAATATACGTTCCTTCCGTCCTTACCAAATGGTCGAAATTAAGTTCTAAAAAATATTCTTTTGTACGTGTGCATTACATGGGTGCCAACTACAATTAAACGTTGAAATTTTGCACCAGTGTTTGACATGCCTCTAAAATAAAATATACAAACGATATACATCGATAAATACACACAAAATAAATTGTTTGTACAATTACCTAATAGTTTTAATAAACACTTATCGATAATTAACAAAATTCCGACTAATACCTAAATGTACTCAAACTACTCAAAGTCTTAACAGTTTTTATAGAATGCGCCCAAACCAATACACTTTCAACTCAGATCACGTGTTCGCGTCACTTGTCAGTGTCATACATTGGGAGAGTGTCAAAGATTGGTAATTTACCTTAAAGAATTCGTTTTATTCTGAATGAGCAGATTTTACTGCATCCGATTTTATTGCATTTTTATGATACTAAGTGACGGTACGTACAAGTCGTGCGCCTGGTTGTAAACGACACGCCTGTCCATAGCAGTTGCAGTGCCACTCAGAGATTTAAATGGCAAATATACGTTCGTCACCCGGAGACATCGAGTATATAAACACAAATAGAGACGAAATAAGGGCCATCCATCACTGGCAACTTGTCAGGCAAATGGGCCTCATATCACTTTTAAATATCAACTCTCGTTTACACTGAAATCATAAATTAGAAAGCTGAAATAGTACAGCGCCAACAACTGACCTGTGTGTACGTCTCCGTATATTACAAAAGTATTCTGTATTTATTGTAATAAATATTGTATTTACTGTATTTATTGTAATATCTCTAACTATGGGAGACTGTTCCCTTCGGTGGTGTGCGAAAAACAGCAAAACATCTAATTATAAAACAAACGGAACCACATTTCATCGGTAATTAAATATTAAATATGTAATTTTTCAATTTTCGTCCTTTATAGCAAAGCTCAAGTTAAACTGGTCGAGTTGAAGTGAAAAAATTAACGACACCCGTCAATTGTTCCGAATTCGGACTGGCCAATGGAGCGCAGTTATCGTCGTAATGATTTGGCAGAATAGTTTTCAAAGAAATTAATTGACATTTCGTCTCTATGTCTGGTTATATACTCGATGCACTCAGATATACATAAGTTGCCAAGTCCCACGTGCTTGTAATATCACCAGCAACCTTACCGTTCGAAACCGGAACACAATAATGCTCGCATTACTGCTTTGCGGTAGATATAGGTAAGGTGACGATAGTACTAGACGAACTCTTTGACAAGTAGCTCTTGTCTGTACTACTACTAATTATAAACTAGCATAACTCTATATACTTAGTTGTAAAATACCATTAAGATTAAAATTTGCGTAAACGTTTACGTTGCTTTTATTGATTTCATTTCTGAATTTACAAACTTCAAAATGCTCCCTTATACAGCTTCAAAAATGTCTTAAACAAAATATAACTTAGCCTCTTTTTCCTTTTATCCGTGGATATTATTTCAAGTGAATGTTGCACCCCAGACAGGTTACGAAGTGTTTACTAACCAATTCAAGTCATCTGCAAACGCGAATGTCGTATCTGTTCGGTCATTAAATACTCATTACAAATTGATGAGTAACTTTTCTAAAGTTTTGAAACTGTTGAGATGATTTAGTGAATAGAACCGCGACTATACGACCTACCATTATACGTAATAAATAATTCTTTGATCTTTAGTCAGTTTCATTATGATTACATTTGTGATGGCATTTTTTTTTGTTCTTCAACCACATTGTTTGCATTCTATCTAAGTTTTTTGTATTATGAATATGAAGTTGGTTAAAAGGGCTAAAATGCAGTGCTACATAGGTGTTATTATTTCAGGAAACTTAATGTGAGGGATCTGTGAAAATAAAGTTATTATTATCTATGTATTGAGATAAACTTGGTTATTCTTAACACTAACTGCACTATTTGTATTTGACCGTAAGACTGCTCTAATTTTGAAAACATAAAAAACCATAGAAAAAGTAATTGAAAATTATGGAAAATTTAAGCTTTCTTTTTGGTAATATACATTACATTGGAGGTGCCTGAAAGTCTGGCAGTACCAGTGAGCGTCGCATTCCCCCTAGGCAAAGACAGAGTGCAGTGGAGAAGATTGATTGGTATGGAACGCGAAGTCAATTCCTTAACATTAGGGTTAAAGGTTGGGTCAACATTATTGAATCGACTACCGTATTTTATATTATTGCACAAATATACATGACTCAACATTATTTTTGTTGATAAAA